TATATGTGTGTGTGTGTGTGTGTGTGTGTGTGTATTTATAGGTATATATATTTATATAAATATATATATATATATACATATCTATGTCTATACATGTATCTAATATTATATATATTATATATATATATATATATATCGGATATATTTTCATGTTTACATATATGTATGAATGTATGTAGGTGCTTTTGATATATATATGTATTTATATACAAATATGTATATATATATATATGGAATTTTTAATAAGATTGTATTCACTATCATACAAAACCTATGGTGTCAAATATGACAATATGCTTCTGTTAGTGCGCGTTTAAGACGTTTGGGACGTTCATTTATAATCAATATTCATGGAGGGAAATGAAACTCGTATCCGGATATTAACCTCTATATCCATTTCTGATGATACAATCGCATCGATGCCTTCAATAATAAACTGTATTTTGAGGTGATATAGAAACCTGATAATATGAATACATATAGATTCTTATTTTGTGATATTGATGTTGTCGTTCTTTTTTGTTAAGCTTCCTTATTTGTATAAACAATGCTATTGAAATTACTATCTATTTTTTTATTTGGATGTATATTCAAGTTTTCTATTGAAAGAGCCGGTTATGACAAGTTGTCAATGCGACCTCACCGCTATCGACTGTAACCATAACAACCTATTCAATATTACCTACTGGTGGGCTTCTGAGATTTTAATATTAACGTTTGCCGCGTTGAACAGCTATATATGTGCATTTGAAACATGGTACAGGTGTAATATATACTGGAGACTCCCAACAGACCAAAGCATCAGTTGTTTGGAAAGGGACACACGATTGAGTATGAGCATATTGCAAACTTGCGCGCTTCTTGCAATTGCTATCTATTTAGTACATACTCCGAAATCGTTCATAAGTCGAGGCAGATTCCTATTCGTTGCTACACACTATCAATCCAGATGCAGAATCTGGTCCACTATGACTCCCGACGTCCCCATCAGAGCTTTGCACGTCTCTAAATGTTGCAATGCCACATCTGATTCGCTGCCGAACGACTTCCCATACCTTGGTGAAGGACAGTACAAGTCACAGTACTGCCTAAACAGCTCCGCCGCACCCTCCAAGTCACTGTGGTCAAACAGAGCTTCGAACGCACGCGTGTACATATCCGCCTTCATCACCTGCTGGAGTGTGGCGGTGCCTCTGTGCGCTATGAGCTCATACACCCGCACTAAGCCGCTCGTGTCCGTGTAGTACACATCGTCTATAGGCCTACACACAAATCTGCTACACACCAGCGCGTACGTCTCACCACTTATGAGGATCTCGGTACCGTACTTCTTGTTCAGACCCTCGAGATGCTCGCCCACGTTCACGGTGTTGCCTATGGCTGTGTACTGTAACCGGTTTTGCGACCCGAAATTCCCCACAACGGCTGGTCCTGTGTGTATCCCGATTCTCTGATACAGTTGTGGCAGCACGCACGACTTCCCCCTTTGACTTGTGCCTCTGGGCTTCGCCCCACAGCGGCATTTAAGTCCCTTCCGCCCTGGTCCCGCTATTGGTGTACCGCTTTCCATCGCGTCCTTCTGGGTGGCTATATCCTCATTCGTTCTTGTATCTACATTAAAATCCACATCCGGATCTGCTTCTTCGTCATCTCCATCACGTCTGTCGTCTTCCTCTGATTCGCTGTTTGAGCCTGTTTCGCCCACAACGGCTATCTCGCCTTCAATTCCTTCCACACCCCTGCGTTCAAGTAGTTTAGCCTTGCCCGATGCACCCCCGTCGGCCCGGCGGCATAGTTTATTAACTGTAACACTCGCGTCTACATGAGTATCCCCACCGTCAGAGGTATCGTCTGGCTTGTTTGGGTCAGTATCTACCTGCGCGCATGCAGAGCCCCCACACATACACGTATCGTTTCCGCTACATACAGTGATCTGAATCGATTCACACGTACACGCGCGTGCATGGTCAATCAACCTGTTCTCGCGCCGTTCCCTCTCCCACCTCTGCCGTAATCCGTGCAGCGCAGCTTGACACAGCAACGCCGCCTCACAGCATCGCCCGGCGTGATCCACTACAATCTCAGGCGCATTCCATATAGCCATGATAGCATCCCCGATGTATTTGTCCACGGTGCCCCCATTCTGCGCAATGATACTGCTCATCTCCTGGAGATAGTCACCCAAGACTCGGTTCAGCACTTCGATCTCCAGGTTCTCGCTGATGGTGGTAAAGTCCACTATATCCGAGAAAAACACGGTTATAACCTTCTTCCGCTGCCCGCCCAGCGTCGCTTCCATCCCCGAATGGATCAGAATACGCACCACATCCGGCGGCACGTATTTGCTGAACGACCGCAGGGAATGGCGCAGGCTCTGCATGACTTCGTACACCATCGCAATCTCCTTGATGGGATTGTTCACCCCGGCCCCCGAGTTCTGGGTAACGGGCCGGGAGAAGTCCAGAGTGGCGAACCGAGCCAGCTGCTTGGTGCATACAGCGAACTCCTTGGTCACCTGATCGACCACCACCAACGCAAACACCATACTCAGAAGGAGAATGCACACAGCCACCGCAGCAGTCCATCGCAGCACTCTGCTGTAAGCACCTGTGAAGTCACTGCGTGGCACTATGACCGCGCTCACAAACCCGCCGTTGACCAGCTGTACCAGTCCTATACTCAGAATGTCCTCGTTGGGCAGTGTGTACTGGTGCGGGATACCCTCGTTGAACGACGGGGTGCTGTTGGTGCATCTGGGGTTGAGTGGGGGGGTGGGTTGGCACGCATAGGTGCTGTTTGCGGGTTGGCCCGCACAGTTTGCGTACCCATACATATGGGGTAACGGGCAATTGTAGGTGACTGGCGGAACCTCCGTAAATTGCAAGTAGCACACACACTCGGTGTTGCACAGATCCACCAGAAAGTCCGACAGGGCTTTCAAGCGTGCGTCCTCGCTTAGATACAACCGTTTCCGGTCGAGTACAGTAGCATCCTCCGAGTCCCATTCGAACGCGGACAGGCAGGTGCGTGTTTCTGTCACGGCAAAACCATCTGTGCCCGGTGTAGTCAGCGAGCTAGCTACCAACAGTCCATTCTCCATCTCAAACAGCACGCTGTAGCCCGAGTCGAAGTACTTGAACGACGCCAACACGGCCGACAGATCATCCAGGAGGACATCTGCCGCGACCACCGCCTTTGTTGCTGTGTCGAGGTCTTGAGGCACCCTATACGAGCAGGTGATACCCAGGTTGCCGGCCGCATAGGGATACACTGGCGTCCAAGATAGACCCAGCGCGTTGTCTACATCCGTGTACCAGGGCCGTTCGGTAACGTTGAGGAAAGGGATGTACAGGAGCATCTCACTATTGTCGTACACAGAACACCCGTGAGTCTCCTCCAGGGCTTCGCACTCCTCGTCTACAGCATAGCCCCTGACGCCTGTCTGGGTGCTATCTTGCACCAGAGCTTGCCTTCGAACCGTACCGTCGTGTACTGTAAACCCCGCCCCGTAGAAGGTGTTCAATGGGCTGCCTACAAACAGAGTACTCACATTGACCGTGGGCAGAGACAGCACCTCCTTCTCTACCGCTACCAAGAAGTTCGTGATTAGGACGGCATTGTCCAGCGCCACCTGCGGCACGAGGAAATAGGAACCGCTCAGCACCGTAGTCTGCTCCGGGAATGAAAACTCGGTCAATAGATTGGTGTCAATGTTAATCCACAGCTGCTCCGACACCGTGCGCGCGCCCATCTCGAGCTCCTGCAGCGCGTATTTGGACATGAGCAGGGTGGTCACCACCAACACGCTGAACAGGGCCAGGAAGGTGTTGGTCAGCCACAGGGTGCGGAAACTAGCGACTTTGCGACCCCGATTGGGGTTGCGGACTTTGCCTGCATCCCCCTCGTCTAACTGTGTCTGGCGGCCTTTCTCCCGTACGTGTGCCCGCCGGTCCCACCACCGTCCAATGAACCCACAGCACCCCACAGAGTCGCACCATCGCCTTGCCCTGGGCGAGTGGTCCTCCGCTCTCAGCATACTCCCACTTCCCGGATTCTCCATCCACCCATCCCTATGGGGACCCCCGCCCTGGCCGGTATCCCCGTACCCATCCGGCGTCCGTGCATGGCTATCTCCCTCTCTAGCAAACAGCCTGGTCGCCAGCCTGGCGCGGGTGTGCTTGCGCCGTCCTCGCTTGGCTATATGCAGGTTCTTCGCACTCACTGGGTCCAGCGCAAACCACGCATCACCAGCCGCGAGGTTCTTAACGGGTATAGCCACCTGGCCTACAGCACGTGAGTTCCGCATCAGCACTGCAACCACCTTGATCCCGTGCAGCCACAGCAGATCCAGCGCGTCCCGTGTGTGCGCTATGTCTTGTGACGAGTTGGTCGCACGCAGTAGTGTGCCCCCACCTCCGCCCACCGTCACCGACGCCTTGCGTGTGCTAGTTGTCGTGCCTGTCTGTGTGAGTGTGCGTATGAGCTGTGCGCGTGTGCGTGTGTGGGGGGTGCCTGAGCGTGCGAGAGACGCTGACTTGGTTTCCTTCAGGCTGTTTGCCTTGACCTTAGCCTTGGCCCTGGGCTTTGCATTTGGCCTGGGTTTGCCAATCCGTGCCTGTGTGTGCTTGTGTGGGTCTTCACATGCACCGTCACAGTCCGATCCACTGAGCCTTTGCCCACCCCTCCCTATGCCCGTGTGAGTGTCTGCGTTGTTCCCCATACCACTGACCACGTGCGTATCCTTCTCACTGCCCAACTCCAACCGGATGACCGAATGCCACGTGGGCTTATACTCGTACCGAACTTCCATTGGCACATTCCCGCCAACCCCAAACTTAGACGCAGGCGGGTTCCGGCTGTGCGATCTACTTCGGGCGGCGTGTGTGTAGCCGTATGCCTCGAGCTTGCCCCCCGTTCGCCCATGTTGTGGCGTGTGCATCGATTCTGTGGATACATTGATGTCATGCGCCGAGGTGGTGGTGGTGGTGGTGGTGGTGGTAGTAGTAGTAGACGTGTTATTCCTGAATCCGTAGTACGCTGCATGATCATGACTTTCGTGTGCGCTGGGGGTGTCGCTGGCGCCACTCCCCGTGCTGTACATGCTATCCCTGCGCTGCAGGCCGTTGGCGTGGCTCGCCAAGCCCTGCTGAGGCAGCATCACCGTCAGGGCGTGGGTGTTGGTCGTGTCTACGTCCCCCTGGATTAGTGTGTGCAGTGGTAAGCTACTGAACGAGTTGTCCGTGCCCCTGCTGCTCGACCCACTCGCCATACTGTCCCTGCGCTTCCTACTGCGGGACGACCCCGTGGTATAGCCATGCTCGCGTGCGGCCACGGGTACAGCCATAGGCCTGCATATGCTTTGGCACGTGCTCATGGGCTGCTCCCCCGGGCTCCTGTCCAGGAACACACACACCCAGAAAGAGCACTCCAGATGGGAAGATGTACTATCCATCCCCCTTGCCTCCTGCTGTCTCTGTGCTGCGTTGCCATCGTGGTCCGCAGCGCGGGCAGTGCCCTCCCCACTGCTGCTGGGTGTTTGTTCGTGAGCATGTAGCTTACTGGAGTTACGTGTGAGCGTATAGTCCGATACGTGCTTGGCTGCATCTGCGTGTGTGTTGTGCCTGACACCCGGCGCTTTGTGGTCTTCTATGCCTGCACTTGTATCTAGCTGGTCGTGTGTGAGAGCATCAGTTGTGCTTGCCCCAGCATTTGCTTCTTCGGCAGCTTTCGTGTGAGGCTGTGTAGATGCGCAAACGGATGCGCTCTGGTCTCCCCCAACAACCGCTGTATCTACCTGTGCGGCATGGTACTCCGCTTGTGCCATACTACTGTCTATCTGTGTTTTATCATTATGTGCTAATACACTATGGCTACGATTTCGTGCGTTGTTACTGTATATGTGCGCATGTGTGTTCAGATCCGAGTATACCGCCTCGCCCGCACTGCCAACGCTCCCAATACTGACCTGACTGAATCTACGGCCTTTCCTTCGATTACACCCCAGAGACTGCATACTGCTGCCCTCACTACCTATGCCCCAACTCTGATCTGTTACAGATTCACTCCCATTTAAGGTTATATTGTCATTGCTCACGGCAAGCGCTTTATTCGTGCCCTTGCCCAGGTTTACGAGATTGATAACTAACGTAGACACGTTGAGTGTGGGAATCACAAAGGGTTCGAGAGAGGTCGTGGTGTGTGTATCTGTGTGTGTATTCCTGTGTTTGCCTGTGTGTGCGTGTTCATCCACATAACCTACACGCGCCCCCAGCACATTAACATCCACGGCGTCGCCATGTAAGCTGAAGCGGAGATGAAGTAAGCCATGGTCTAGTGCATCACTTGTATAGAACATGCAGTCATCGTCGCTTGCTTCAGCCATTGTATGTGATCCCTATCTATAAGGATACAAATGTGTTATAAACTTTGCCATAAATATATAAATATATGTGTATATATAATACTATATATATTAAGCTACGCTAAAATACACCATCAATGGAACGCCCATCTAGAACTGACATATTCGCTTCGCAGTGAAAAGGCTTAGACTGTCTATGCAATCTGTTAAAAAAGGACATCAAGCATAACTGCCTGTACGGACCGACTCTCACAACTACCTATAATTCCTGGTGCGTATGTACTGTGCGTATTCTTAGATTTTAAATATATATATATGCTGTCACAGGTTGTTCTTCTTTTAGGAGGCTGAATATAGTAAATTTACAAATATCTGTTGTCAGACCCCCTTCAAACTCTCGCCCCTGCTGATTGAACCCCGCCAAAAAGTATAGATCCATCCTGACCCTCACTCTACTACTAGTAGAGACTAAGTGAAGCAGACTTTTAAAATTACCAGAATATGGGGGATCGTATTTATTCATTTAAATTATATGTCCTCTGATCATAGCCTCCTATGTTAGAATAATTAAGACGCTAGAACGCTCCCATACAAAAACCAGCCTGTTGGAGAATAATAGTTAATTCGGTAACTTACTAATTAAGTCGCACAAGCCGACCTTTCGTTGGACGTAGTACCATAGGTCCGTATGTATATCACCATTTATCCTATACAGTTAGTTAAAACAGGTTAAAAAACACAGACCTTGTACTGACCATTCAAATATTCTACTGAGATAGTGCTTGTTCCAATGTTCCTCACTAGAGACTCGAAGAGAGAGAGGCGAAGTGTCGCTCGACAATGTTACATAGTCAGTATCATACTGTAGTATTTATCAACTGACACAAAAGTGTGCGTTCACTTTTCGCACATCCTTACAGACAAAAATTTGTATATAGTATATTGTACATCCTTACTATCGTATATGATTTATTATTCATCTCTACTATCGTATATAATATATTGTACATCCTTACTATCGCATTCCTACAACAGATATATATGTTACATATGCTCATTCGGCGTTCGATCGTGTTACTAAAGGGATTTCGCTATCACGCGTCTTAGACATTCTGCTGGTGGTGCCATGTGATGCTCGAAACCTATGCGCCACAACTAGCTCCTTGTGTAATACGAACACGTGCCTTCGTACACTATCGTTCGACAGCGCTTGTGGTTCTCGATGCCTTGGTTTCATGCCTTTGGTGTTATGCCATTCCTATAAATGTGGCCACAGTAGCCTGCGAGTACAGTCTGTACAGTGATTGTCTCGTGGGGGATCAATCTATTCACGGCATTAAATATAACTAGTGTTTACGGTCCGTGCAGTATACTTCGTGGCATTCTATACACGTATACCAACCACTTCGAAGTATTTGTTCGTGCAGAGATAGGTCATTTGAATACGTGGTTGTACAAGTTGCATTGCAGTTCTGGCACACTGTTGGTACCAGGTAAGCGATACGAGAGACTATCTCAGGCGGAAGGATCCCGACGAAGAGTGACTGGAGATAGGTCTGCAGATCTGCGGCTGTTTCCTTTTTAGACATATTGACCACTTCAACCTGTATATGTTAGTGAGAGTTTGTCGCTGTCATATGTAGTTGTCAGTAAGTATTTCTCTCAGATTTGCAAGTGTTGTAAATAGCACAAGAACCTTTGCTCGTGGATCCCAACATCCTTGCTTCCAAAATTTATATCTGTTAGCGTATGGTATTTATTTACACTGACCATAGAGCTTCGTAAATATAAATAGAAGTCAAGCATGAACCTGAAGTGGTATTTCACAATCTTGTGGACGACACTGTATGTGCACAACATTTGATTACACATACCTTTTTCCAATCGAGTGCAAGTAATTCGTTGATAACGTGGTCACAATGTATTCCCCCTTCAGATTTGCACGAGTTTAATTCGTTATTGATGCAATATCGCGTCACTCTCACTACAACCGCGAGAAACAGTCTGTGCCGCTCTCCTATTGGGAACTGTTGTCTCAGTTCATATCCCCTGTATTTTACTGTCTAATGATTTGACTGAGGCGATCAAATTCTGAGTTTGTTGTTAAAATACGATTCTGTGTATATAGCGCAGTTCCTTAAAGTAGGCCTATAGTTCCCAATTCAATATATCAACGGTTGATTATATTCTGAGCTTGTTGGGTAGACTGTTTATTTGCGCACCAATACTCTGACTGTTACAACCTTCAGCTCTGGAAGGCGAATGTTCTCCTAAAACAACTGTCAATAGCAAAATTTTAGCTTGTTACATCTTCTTATAAGCTTAACGTTGTAGTATACTACCCTCTATTTTGCGATATACTTACCGACTATTCTAAATGCATGATAGACATTATGCATCCGTTTCTGACCAAACATCACGCGGCGAAACCCTGTACTAGACTACGGAACGTGAATTGGTAAAATTTAGACTTTTAAATTATTTTGAATTATTGTATTATACCGCCTTGATGGCTGATGCAGGAAACTCCAACTAACCGCTGTTTAGGGTTTAGGGGATTCTGCTCAAGAGTTTTTGGCCGTTTGATTTGCAGTGTACTATAGCCTCAGTTGAATACATGACGTAACAAGCGTCTATATACATAGCCTACTCAGAATTTAACCTTTAGGGGAGGCTATGTGATGTATATTGCTTGGGCGGTAGCATCGAGTCTTTATTCTCTACTTATTTTATATCTGGGATTCGATTACAAATCGCGCATCTCTTGAGCCGGACACTTTGGTCTGATCGTAACCCCTTACACTCGGCGCTTCTGTGTTAATGTGTGCCTGGGTTGATCCTGTAATGATTAGCATGTCTATCGAAGGCGAGCCATCTGTAATCGCCTACATCTTTCCGGTATGGCTTTAGACTTGGGTGGATAACCCAGGCCACAGAGTAGGTGTTCTGATGATCGTTATGATCAGTACATATTATTCTCGTGTCTCTGAGCTTGTTGCTGATAGTAATGTCACGTAAATGCAGCGATGCGCACGAAAGCGTCACCTTCATGTCACCAAGTAACACGTGGTATACATATGGATAACTATATATGTATGTCTATATACAGCTATACATATATAACCATCTATAACTATATATATATATATATATATATATATATAATATATTATTATATACTACTATATATATATATATATATATATATATATATATATATATATATATATATATATATATATATATATATATATATATATATATATATATATATATATATATATATATATATATATATACATATATATGCATTCATATATAAATAAACATATATATATATATATATATGCGAATATATATAAATATATATGTACATATACATATGCAT